CCGCTCCCCGAGCACGCGAGGCCGGCGCGCGCTCCCCGGGATCCCGAGCGCGCGCCTGACAGCCCTTTCTCTGGCGGCGCGCGACGTTGCTAGGCCTGCTATGGCCCCCGACCCGTTGGCTGCCGAGACCCCAGCCCAGAGGCCCTCCCCGCGCTACTTCACCTGGGAAGAGGTGGCGCAGCGCTCCGGCCGTGAAAAAGAGCGGTGGCTTGTGATCGACCGGAAGGTGTACAACATCAGCGAGTTCACCCGCCGGCACCCCGGGGGCTCCCGGGTCATCAGCCACTACGCCGGGCAGGATGCCACGGTGAGCTCTGCTTGGCTGGGCATGGAGGGGGCGGGGCTGGGCGGCACGCCTGGAGAACGAGTGCCGAACACAGGAAGTTTGGCTCCTCAGGCCGAACACCAACAATTCGGTGAAGAGCCGAGAGGCACCTGAACATACCTGCGGCAAGGCGGCTGGGAGTCCTGCTGTCGGTGGTTGGACAGGGGATGCAAAGGCAGGAGAGAGGCTCAGAAAACTGGAGTCTGGGGCGTGGAGATGGGGGGCAGCAATGTGCACACACACAAAGGGCTGCGCCGCCCGTCGGTGCATTCCGCTGTAGCCCCCAATCTGTGGTCTCCACGCGTGGGCAAGACCCAGAACGAGGCTCGGCTCGGAGGAAGGAGAGGCGAGGATACAGGTCGCCGGGGAAAAAGGGGTTAGTAAGGAAGAGGGAGTCACGTCTTGTCGCAAAGGCTGGGAGGGGGAGCGCAGCTGTGTCTCGACCGAGGTTTTGCAGGATGCCACGGAAGACTGCTTTACAGGGGAGGGGACAGGACAGGGGACACTGTCGAAGATAAAGCTGGCATGGGGAATTAATGGGGAGCCCACTGCCTTTGGAGCCCCTGCTTGGTGTAAAATCGGAAAGAGGGTAAGAGCACCGGCCGGAGAAGACAAGCGGCGACTAGCCGACAGCCGGGAATGAGAGCAGGGCGCTCAGGGTGCGGGCGCCTGCAGTTCTTGGTCAAGAGCCCCGGAACTATTCTTGAATCCTGCCGGGGAGGTCACTCTGGGGAGGTCACTCTGCTGTTTGCACTGCAGAGCGGTGGGCCCTTTACAGCGTCGTATCCCTCCTCCCTAGGCCTCACTGTGGGGTCAGGAATCATCACCCCGACTCCGGTCCTGCTCCTTTTTCTAAACCACCGAACCTCAGAGCTGGGGAGCTCCGAGCCTCCCTCCTGCGCTGGAGCACCAGGGAGGGGGTGTGTGTTGGAGGGTGGGCGGGGATCTTTCCTTGGAACCAGTAAGTTGGGGCTTTCGCTTCACCGCGTTTCACCCTCAGTGGTCAGGATCGCGTCCCCTCTCCTTCCCACCCAATGCTCGGCCATGCAACACCCTCCTGACCCCATTCACTGCCTTGGCATCCTAGAGCGCACCTCGGGTCATCAGGGTTCTTTACGGTCGCAACGAAGTTGAACACTGCAGGGAGACTACCTCCCTAGGGGGCGAGACTAGATAGAGTTCTGTGAATCACGGGAATGACCACTCCGGAACCCAGACCACAGCCCACGGCGTAGGCTTGAGGCTGCACATGCGCAGAGCAGGCAACCCGGGCCTCCTGCAGAACGATTTGGGGCGGGGGACAACGCCGTGGGGACTGCGATTGGTCCGGATGTGTGGCGCCACTGGCCTCCGGCTCCGCCCCGGCCCCCGCCCCCACACGCTGCTTCTTTCATAGGGCCTAAGGCCATCTGACCTGTAGCTATGAATCTTGACAGGGGACTCCCACCTTGCATAACCAAAATGAGCTGCTCTCGGGTAGGGAGTGGTCAGAGTGCTGGGAGAAATATGGAACCCAACCTGGAACGCCAGTGGAGGGAAGGGGGGAGAAATTCATGTTTTCCTGTTGGGACATGGGAGGTCTTCCTCTCGGCAGTTTAGAGAGAATGCTGGCTCAGGAAGGAACCGGGAAGTCTCACAGCCCCACTCCATTCCTTGTTTCTCACCTATCTCTAAGTCGTGGGCAAAACTTGTCCCTAGACACACCCAGGGGAAAGGGCAGTCCAGGCAGATCTTTCTGGATGGTCCCCCACAGCCAATGTTCCCTAGTCCTTGGTGTAGTGCTCTTAACTAGGACAGGTGCTGAGAGCACATGACCTGTGGACATTGGGGAAGATCTGTGCACCCTCAAAAGGCAGCCAGCCAGAGGGAGGTAGTCTGCTTCAACATGGGTACAGATTTTTTTTTGCAGGCAGGAGGAGCATGCCCTTTGATGTGAGCCCTCCAGGAGCCCAGGGCAAGGCTGGCTCCCTCACCTTTCTGTCTTCTGCTTGCAGGATCCCTTTGTGGCCTTCCACATCAACAAGGGCCTTGTGAGGAAGTATATGAACTCTCTCCTGATTGGAGAACTGTCTCCGGAGCAACCCAGCTTTGAGCCCACCAAAAACGTGAGACCTTATTTGCTATTTAGAGACTTGGCTGTTGAGGGGGGAGGAGTAGAAGGAAAGCCTAGGTGGGCTCACAGATGGCCAGTTAGTAGTCCTTGGGAGTCTTGAGGTCCCTATTTCTCTTGCATAGTCTTGGGTCCACAGGCCCAAGGCAGCAGGGCTTTAGAACCTATGTTTCTCTCAAGATGGCCACCGCTACTGCTACCACTGTCATCACGAGGCCTATTTATTGAGCGATTATGTGCCAAGCATAAGTTCATAAAATTCTCACACATTTACAGATCAGAGAACTAAGACTTGGAGAGGTTAAGCAGTATAGCCAAGGACCACACAGTAAATGGCAGAGCAGGGACCTGAACCAGGTCTACATAACTCTTAGGCATGAACCCTTAGCACCTGCTCCTGTCACCTTTCCATTATTGTATTATCTTTGTCAGGGACTAGGGGCTTCCCACTGCTACCTCAGTGGGAGGTCCCTGAGCCTGAGAGAACCCATGTCTCTAGTAGTATTGGGCTGCAGCTGGAATTACAGCCCCTCACCCCCCACTCCCCCAGAAAGAGCTGACTGATGAGTTCCGGGAGCTACGGGCCACAGTGGAGCGGATGGGGCTCATGAAGGCCAACCATGTGTTCTTCCTGCTGTACCTGTTGCATATCCTGCTGATGGATGTCGCTGCCTGGCTCACTCTCTGGGTCTTTGGGACATCCTTAGTGCCCTTCCTCCTGTGTGCGGTGCTGCTCAGTGCAGTTCAGGTGAGATCCTTTGGCTTGTCAAGTGTACTATCATACTTAGCATCCTTGGGAAAAGCTCTTTGTACCCTTCAGAAGGCCAAGAAGCCTTGCCCTCTAGATATGCAGGATAGTGCAGAAAGAGAACATAACATTCTGTCATCAGTGGGTGGTGGGGTTTTTTTGGGGGGGAGGGGTCTTTGCTATAGCGCTCATGCACTCGCCAGAAAGACAGAGACAGAGAGGCAGAAAGCAAGAAATCACCTCCCAGGGGGGATGGCCACACTGCAATCCCTTCTCCTCCATTCTCCTCTTGGGATCTTGAGCACTCACATACACACGCCCTGCATTAGTTTAAGCCACCAGGTCCCAGACTCGAACTGTGGTCGACTACATGGGAGTCCAGCGACATAGCCATTGCACCAACTGCTGGTCCCCATTAGTGGATTTTATGTGCTCATTAGCCACAGGCCCATCTTCATTTTTCTCACTGCCTCTCCAGTTGCTCCTCCAGGGTTCCCTTTCTTTGGGATTTATTCATTCTCTGAAACTTCCCGGTCACAGCCCAAATGTGCCAAGAACCAAGGTGCTGTTTCTCAGCGGCAAAGATGGGCTCCCTTTCCATCAACATTGCCCAACATGCTAATAATGTGTGGGCCTAGTACTTGGCTGTCAGAACTTACCTTGGCAAGCTTTTTATCACTTCTACGTTTGCCATCTCTTATCTGTGTTCTGAGAATCAGTGCATGATAAGTAATAGAACTTCAGAGCCGGGGAAACTGAAGAACAGAGATGGGATAGTAACATGTGAGTGAGTTCATGGTAGCCCAGAATTAGGATCCAGGTTTGCTGACTCCTTTCCTGATGTGCTCAGTTGGTGGGGATAAAGGGGGCAGCATCACAGGTATGGGTAGATGAAGGAAGAGGGAGAGGCTGAGGTCAGTGAGAAGGATTCTGGGCTGATGGGCTACTCTCAGCACTAACTTTTCCTGCCCAGGCCCAGGCTGGCTGGCTACAGCATGACTTTGGACACTTGTCAGTCTTTAGCACTTCTACATGGAACCACCTGCTACATCACTTTGTGATTGGCCATCTGAAGGTCAGTGGGTTAGAGAGCAGCTCTGAAACTCCAGTCAGTTAAGGGCTGCCAAGGGAGGGGGTGGCATAGAGGGCCACTAGGTTTTCATACTCATGTCTCCAATTTTCTGTAGGGCGCCCCTGCCAGCTGGTGGAATCACATGCATTTCCAGCACCATGCCAAGCCCAACTGCTTCCGCAAAGACCCAGACATCAACATGCATCCCTTCTTCTTTGCCTTGGGAAAGATCCTCTCTGTAGAGGTGAGCAGACCCATCAGGGGAAAGGTCTTAGAGGAATGGAAAGCAGCCAGCACAGAGGGCTTTAAGGAAAAATGCATACGATGTTGTCAGTGTGGGTAAGACGACAGGGCCCTGGCTGACTGGGATCCTTGCTGTTTAAAAGTTCTGGGGTGCAGGAGGCAGTAACATGGGACTGCTCCAGGACACCATCTTCCCTGAGTTCAATCAGCAAATAGTCACTGGGTAAAAGTACCACATGCAAAGGACTCCGAAGATGACCAGGAGATTACTGTGCAAGCATGCAAGCACACATATGCACATGTACTGGCATGTTTCTCAAGCTGCTGGGTACAGAACTCAAACTGTAGGGTTGGTCATGTGAGATCCAGCTGCTTTAACCACCAGACCACAGAGCCATCCTGCTCCTGCACTGTGTATTTCTCTCTTAAACGTGGATATCCTACTGTGTCAGTCTTTCATGTCCGGGGCTGAACTGTTTGACTCTTCTTTGATGCTCAGAGCCTGGAACATTCATTCAACAAGCACTTCTTCCCAGTCTCCTTATCTCAGCCTGATTTCCAACATGGTCAGCACTGGGTTTACATTGGCATCTGAGACTGAGCAAAAATCATAATGCAGTTGCTGAAGGAAGAATGCCTGGGAGTGGAGATGTGCTGAGCATTTAGTGAGCAAAAGGCAATAGAAACCTCTGGAGACCCAGCAAAAGTTATTTGAAAAGTTCATTTAAAACCATTTTTTCCCGGCTCCAGGCTTGAGAGTTCTGCCAGGTTCCCCTCCCTCACTCCATGCCATCTGAGCACACGAAGAATTAAACTGCCTTTAAACATTTTGGTCGCCAGCATGGGTTCAAGTAGCCTGGCTGTTCTCTCTCCTCAGCCCTGAGAAGAATTCCCTGAGAGGAATTCCGCGGAAAGGCTTTGGTAGAGCTGGCTGACCTGACTCAAGCTCATAGCTTGAGGCTTATGTCCTACTTGTGCAGGATATTCTAATTTCTCAACCTCCTAAGCATGGATGTCTTTGGTTTGTTATATGTCCAGCACTATGGTGTGGTCAGTGGTACCCAGAAAATGAAGCAGCCCTGCCCCATACTCTGGCTCAAGTGGCTACTTTGAAGATAGAGTAATTATTTGGGGCAGTAGCATGAGGCTCTCATTAGCACTTCTATTATTATTACAGAGGGTTTAAAAAAGAAGTGGGGGGGGGACAGCAGGTGGCATGGTGGTTAGGGCGCTGGAATTTCCACATGGCACACCACAGTTCAAGTCCTGGACTAGGTGGCTTGCTTCCTCTCTCTCCCTCTCTCTTTCTGGCAAACTCATGTGAAAATAAATAAATAAATAAATGAAGTTAATTATTCTTTAAAAAAAAATGGGGAGGCTAAATGGAAAAGAAGGAACCTTTTCATACCATTACCTTTATTGCTTCTTGGTACTTGGGTTTTCATAAAACTCCTATCTGTAGACATCAAAAATAGAGAATGAGGTGGGACCCCAAGTTGCCTGCTTTTCTTCTTTTCTCAACTTAGTTTTTTCTCCTAACTATGAAGCTGAGGATAGGCTGCCTGTTAGTGAATAGCTGGAATGCGGGTTGCGTGGAGCTTGGTTCAGTTCCTCTGGGTACAGCATAACTGTATACTGATGTCCATGTTAACCCCATGGCATCCAGATATCCCCACACCTCCCAACTCCCTTGGCGCACAGAGGTACAGGGGACACCGTGTTCTAAATAGAACCCTTCTGACTTCAAGTCTAAACACAATGGGGCAGAATTACAAGGTCCACCCAAGAAGGTAGCAATAGACGCCCTTCCGTAATAGTTCAAAGATAGGAGGCCAAGGTTCTGCTCCACCAAAAAAGAAAGTTGCTCCTCTTCTGGTTTTTCTCAGTGTTGCTCAGGATGGGATGACACTCCCCACCACACCCAGTTTATCAGCAAGTTTATGCTGCCTCAAACAAATCCCAAATCCATGGACTTCCTGCCCCAGTCCTCCCCTCCTCAAGTCTCAGCCAACAGTAGTGTGGATTAGCTCCAACTTCCTCTGGTCTCCCTGCAACTATTTCTGCCTCCTACAGTTCACTCTCCACCTTTGGGCAGTAAGCCCTTTGAAGCACAAAGATCATGCTATGGCCATTAAAAAACTTCCAACTGCCATTGGAATAGAACCCAAACTTATTTTTAAGAGAGATTTTTGCTATAGGGAGCATGTACTTGCCAGCGAGACAAAACAAAAAATCTCCCTTCAGGGATGGCAACACTGTAATCCCTTTTCATCCACTCTCCTCTCAGGATTTTGGACACACAAGCACACGTACCTGGCATGAGTTTGAAGCTGCCAGGTCCAAGACTCAAATGGCAGTCAACTACACAGGTGTCCAGCGATGTAACCATTATGCTATCTGCTGGTCCCAGAACCCAAACTTCTTACTGTGGGTGACCTTACCAGGGCTTTCTAAGGCCCATGATCTGGCCCTTCCTAGTTTTCTGGTCTTATTCTCCCATTGCTACTGTTCTTTGAACATCCCAAGAACTTTAATAGTGACTGTCCCTTTGCTTTTAAAGTTCTTTCCTTGAATTTTTGCATTCTTTACCCTCTTATCATTTAGCTCTCAGTTTAGAAGGAGGCCATATCTGAGTAGCCTTGCTTCCTCCTTCACTTTCTGTCATATTTTTTCAACCTATATAGTACCTTGATCTTTGTTTACAGATTTATCACCAGCTTCTTCTCAGGTTATAAGCTCCATGAGGGTAGGAACTTTGTATTGTTTACCTCTGTATCCTCAGCAGCTATAACAAGCAGTGCCTGGCCAATTCAACTCCTTGTTGAACAAAGCTGTTCATGTAGAAAGAATGCTTCATCGAGCTGAAGGGCCTCACACAGAATTAGCTTTCAGTGAATGGCCTGTGAATACAGTGGGTGGACACAGGAAAGGATGAGACAGCATTCTGCCTTGGAGTTGAGTGGCCCTCTTGTGCCCTGTGATGTTTAGGCACCAGAACTAACTTAGGCAAGATATCTAGAAGGAGCCATGAAGAGAGATAGCAGCACTTTGCTGTCATGTTTCTGTGGCCCACACTAGGAGTCTGGGCAGACCAGTTGACACAACAGCTCCAGTCTGTCTCCTCAGCAACTAGGCTTATATAATAACCAGCATCCACTGGAGAAAGCTTTGCTGGATTGCCAGGTAGTTACTTGCCAAACTGCTTTGCATTTAAGGGGTTTTATGAAGCTCATGTTGATGTCAATTTTGATGGGAGGATTAGGGGCTAGATAAAGAGGGAATACTTAATCTGTATAGAGGTAAAAATGGGTTGTCTGTCTGTGGCAACTCTGATGTCAAAGTACTAGATGAGATCTTGGTGGCAGTGTTCAGTATATTAGAAATACACAGGCTCCAGCTGTCCAGACAACTGAATTGGAACTTTTCTCTTGCATGTATATATGTGTCAAATTGTCAGCATGACAAAAGTGACAGATACTATTTTTGTATTTTTAAAAACCAATTTGTTGTATATAAAGTTTTTTATTTGTCTTGTGCAAATCACTTTTTAAACTCACACAGGCAGGTGTGGGATGTCAAATGTCAGTGTTCAGCCAGGTGGGATGATGGAGCAGAGAAAGGCAGAGTCCGGTGACGGGACACAGGAGCAGTTCCCTGCTCCGCCTTGAGCGTGTCATTAGTGTGTATGTAATGTTAGTGTTAACTCTGCAGGTAAAGTGTCTACGGAGGAATTTTATATTAAGGACAGACCAACACATCAAAGCTTCAAAACCTTTGGGAAAGGGTGGGATTGAGTACAAGCACATTTGGGTTATCATAATGAACTGATTTTTATTAAATGCCTTTGTCCATATGAAATGGGGATATTAATACGAAACCTGCCACCTTCATAATTGGATAAAACCACCAGGTATGATGCCAGCAGATTACATGTAGGCAATAGTGGGTTTCCTTCACAATGTGTTTCTCAAAAGCATTCATAGAAATTTTAGCATTTAAAAAACGTATTATGGAATCAGGCTGTTGTGTTTTAAATTTTGGCCAATCAAGGTGATCAACTTATGGACCACTCCCAGAGAAGATTAATTTTGTCTTTTAAACTGACTGCAATCAGTTCATTATATAATATGCTCTGACTTTTAAAAGAAAACATGCGGCTTATGGCAGAATTAGACTCTTGGTACCACTTGAATGCTTAAAACTATCTGCATCATAGAACAGAAGCATAAACATGATATATATTAAATGGCAGTTTTCACGGGTTTGACTTATTTCTTGATATAAGACACTTAGGGAAAAGTCCACTTAATACTTTTGAAGGGAATAAGCAACTAAATGAGAACTGACAATTGGCCTTTGATTTAAAATGTCTAATTTGTTCTTATAAACCTTGTCAATAAAAATAGTATAAACCAAAAAAAAAAAAAGTACTAGATGAGAGAAAAGGGGAGAAAGTGACAAGACCTTGAAACCTCATGACAAAGGTGACTTTGAACTAACATAAGGAGTCCTACAATTTGCAGACTCTGTAGTGAACATGCCTCGTGGCACCATGGGCTACTGAGCTGTAGGTAATGGCAGCGCACTCCACAGAGCACAGCCCAGGCTTAATGCTCCTAGTGCTGAGTGTAAAGCTGGGCCTGTAGGAGTCTTCTAATAGCACTAACAAAGTGACAGCCCCTGGAGTAGGCCTGAACTCCCGAGCAGGAAAAAGCCAAGGTCACAGGGGACAGGAATAGATGTGTGGTCTACGGATGCTGATTTGTGTTTGCTTTTCTTCACAGCTGGGGAAACAGAAGAAGAAGTACATGCCATACAACCACCAGCACAAATACTTTTTTCTGAGTGAGTACCTTAGGAGGGGGTGCCGAAGGCTCTCCAAGGGATAATGGCATTTTAAAGAAGGGCTCAAGGAAGTACCCCACCCTAATCCTGGTTACTTGCATAGGAACAGTGTGTCATCTCAATGGAGCAAAGTCTATAAGTTAGGCTAAAGCTGTTAAAGAGCATCTGTGTTGGTTACTTCAGTCTTACCCTGGCTTCCACAAGGAAACTGAGTGGTCAGGTAGGTCCCTTCTACTTAAGCCTTAAACCTCCTCTTAAATTTTCTCAAACAAAGGGGCCTCTTTTTTTCATGGCGACTTGGAGGAGGTCAACTGCTTCAAGATGAAGCTGAATATCTCCTTCCCAGCCACGGGCTGCCAGAAACTCATTGAAGTGGACGATGAACACAAACTTCGTACTTTTTATGAGAAGCGTGCAGCCACAGAAGTTGCTGCTGATGCTTTGGGTGAAGAATGGAAGGTTATGTAGTACGAATCAGGTGGAAACAACAAACAAGGTTTCCCCATGAAGTAGGGTGTCTTGACCCATGGTTGTGTCCGCCTGCTACTGAGTAAGGGACACTCCTGTTACAGACCAAGGAGAACTGGAGAAAGAAAGCACAAATCTGTTCGGGGTTGCATTGTGGATGCCAACCTGAGCATTCTCAACTTGGTTATTGTTGAAAAAGGAGAGAAGGATATTCCAGGACTGACTGATACTGCCGTGCCTCATTGCCTGGGGCCTAAGAGAGCTAGCAGAATCCGAAAACTTTTCAATCTCTCTAAAGAAGATGATGTCCGCCAATATGTTGTAAGAAAGCCCTTAAATAAAGAAGGTAAGAAACCCAGTACCAAAACGCCTAAGTATTCAGCGTCTTGTGACTCCACGTGTCTTACAACACAAACGCCGGCATATCGCTCTCAAGAAACAACGTACTAAAAAAAATGAGGAAGAGGCAGCAGAATATGTTCAACTTTTGGCCAAGAGAATGAAGGAGGCTAAAGAAAAATGCCAAGAAGTAGATTGTGAAGAGATGCAGACTGTCCTCTGTGAAAGCTTCTATTTCTAAGTCTGAATCCAGTCAAAAATAAGATTTTTATAAGAGACATAAGTAAGATCAGATCTCAAAAAAAAAAAAATTCTTTTTTTCTCAAAGACCTGGGCCAAAGTGACTGAGAGGGGACTGTCCAGCCTCCCAGGAGAACAAAGGTACAGACACTGTGGGAGGATGGGACCTGCAGAGGAATGGAAGGGCTGTTAGAGATAAGAAGATATTCTATGGCTGTTTTATGTACTTGAGACTGCTATATATTCCCTGCTTTACAGTGCCTACAATTTGAGCTTTAAAACTTCAAATTTTCCAATTTTTAAAGGAACAGGAGGAAGGATTTGATTGATTCCATTTTAGTTTTAAGGAATTTATCCTAACTGCCTATTACCAACGATCTCTACTAGAGAAAGGTGGATGAGAGAGAAGGAAGAAAGAATTTTAGAATCCATAGCACATCAAGATAAAGGAACCATGGGTGGACATTGTAATACAGGGGGTTATAGGTGGCACCAGGAGGCTACAGGAATGGGACAAAAGAAAATAGGGCAGCACTCACAATGGGATCCTCTTTTTCATCTTCCAGTTTTCTTTCCTAAGAATCCCCTATGTTTCTTCCCACAGGGGCTTTAGGGCTTTATTTAGGTCAAGCCCTGGTACAAGCCAATCTCCCTGGTCCAAAGAAATGAGCTCCTTGGCCTAGGAAGGACCAGCAGTGGTGGGTTACTATGGAGTGTGTGTACCCTCCAGTACAAACACAGACTCCACACTCTGCTCCTGCCCCTTCACCTATACGGTGAAGCAGCCAGGAACACAGGATAGATGACTGCAGGTAGCAGAGCTATGGCCAAGGCAACTCAGGGAGTACTAGCAGTGTCCTTTGAAAGGCATGGGAGCAGACCACACCCCATGCATGGGTTTAGATCCCAGCTGCCCTGTTCCACTGGCAAATGCCACTATCACCTTTCACCTTCCCCAGCATCTTCTTGGATGGTTGTCTTTTTCTAGACTTGGATTCATGCCCATATTCAGTGCTTGTTGGTCCCAGTGGATTGAAGAGTGCTAAGTTAACTGGAGGGGGACAGAAGGGGATAAGCAGAGAAGGCAGTCCCATACTAGAACACCAAACGACCCTTTCATGACCCTCATGCTGCTCATATCTCCTATCTCCATTTCCTCTGCAGTTGGGCCCCCAGCCTTGCTGCCTCTCTACTTCCAGTGGTATATTTTCTATTTTGTTGTCCAGCGGAAGAAGTGGGTGGTGAGTATTCATGGCCCCAGAGCCCCATATCTTGTACCTCTAGTACCCTGGTTGGGGGGATGGGGTTTTCCTGGGGAGACTGGGGCTGACTCTAGGCCCAATTTAGAGCAGAATAATAGAACCAGGTATAGATCCTCCTTATCTCTAGGCGGGCTGGAATGATTCAGGCTCAGCAAGTAGCATGACTCCTAATGCCTGATTTTAAGCAACTAGTGTCTCCTGAGGTTCTTGTGCTGGGCATAATGCCAGGGCCAGGCTGGGAATGTGGAAGATGAGTGAGAGATGGTACCTACTTGGGAAATTTTTGAATAAGTAAATGTGACTGATACCAGAAAAGGGGAGTTCCAGGCAAAGGAGCCTGACTGCATCTAGCTTTGCGAAGTAATTTTTCTAGCTGGCATTGGAGAGTGGGCAGGACACTGACAGCCAGGAGTAGAACAAGAAGATTAACTCTGAGCAAAGAAGTTTGGAAGTGAGAGTGAATTTAGCCACCAGACATATGGGGAACTCAAAGGTCAAGGGAAAAAAATATGCTTGGCTCCACAGAAAAGTGACTAGAGAACTGATCAGGGCTGTGATGTGGACTGGCCATGGTCCTGAAAGATTCATTTGGCAGCATGCCTAAGAACTTAGTGTCAGAGAGGAGCTAAAGGCAGGGAGGCCCTGGTACTTGTGAAGGTGAGAATGGAAGAAAGGAGCATTGGAGGAGAGAGCTGAGAGAAGCTGAATGTGACAAAGTGTCCCATTCTGAGTACCCAGGTTGATGGCCACACCATACAAAGAAATGTGAAGTGAGAGGAAGAGGGGAAATTGCTTTGTGTGATGTTCTCTGCCTTTCCCTATAGGACTTGGCCTGGATGGTCACCTTCTACATCCGCATCTTCCTCACTTATGTGCCACTGTTGGGGCTGAAAGGCTTCCTGGGCCTCTTCTTCATGGTCAGGTAGTATTTGGTGGGGAGCAGGGATCAAAGAAGGACAGTACAGACATTTAGGAATGACCAGTCTGGTCTGACGTTGTGCTGGGTCATTGGGTGGCAGGGAGTGTTCCAGGAGTTGGCTCAGAAAGGTAGATGGGCTGGAGAGGTTATCTGAGGAGGAAGTAAGAACTTGTTTTTATTTGTGTGCTCTATCCAATAGATTCCTAGAAAGCAACTGGTTTGTGTGGGTGACACAGATGAACCACATCCCCATGCACATTGATCATGATCACAACAAGGACTGGGTCTCCACACAGGTAAGGAATGGTCACTTGGAAGTCCTGGGCATAGCACTACCAAAAGGTTGGAGTCCCCAAACAGCATCGCCTCAAGCTTTTTTCTCTGCTGCCAACATGTAAAGGGAGTGACCAGGGCCTATCCCACAGTTCTTCTTCAGCCAACTTTACCTGAAGAAGACTGGGCTGGCCTTTCCATCTGATACCAAGACATTCTCTCTCCCCTGACCTTTTCCCCCACCCCCAGCTCCAGGCAACATGCAATGTCCACAAGTCTGCCTTCAATGACTGGTTCAGTGGACACCTCAACTTCCAGATTGAGCACCAGTGAGTGGGGAAACATGAGAAGCAGGGCCCCAGGGAGGGTCCAAGTGTGGCAGGCAGGTGGGAGTAAGAAAAGCAGGGCCACTAACCCTCTCTTCTTCTCCCTGAAGTCTTTTCCCCACAATGCCCCGACACAATTACCACAAAGTGGCTCCTCTGGTGCAGTCCCTGTGTGCGAAACATGGCATAGAATACCAGTCCAAGCCCTTGCTCTCAGCCTTCGCCGACATTGTCCAGTGAGTATCTGAGCCCAGGAAGGTAGCTGGTAGGGAGGGAAGCGGGCAGGGCAATGGGAGTGGTGGTAGTTAACACATTGGGTGGGGAAAAACCTAAAAGTTTTTCTAGCTTTCTGTATTGGGGTCTCAATGGTAAAGACAGAGCGTTTGATTGGTCTTGTGGCCAGGTCAAGCCTTTGTTCTCACTGGAGCCTCCCTAAGTGCCATGGCCCAAGCTGACTTTCTCAGAAGCAAAGGGATGAAAAGCTCCAATGGGAGAAGGCCTTAAAAACCTCCACCTATGAGAACCTCACTACTCCATCTGTAATGGGTTCCATTCTACCATCTTCCCTTACTGTCTACCATTTTGTCCCTGCAGCTCACTGAAGGAGTCGGGGCAGCTCTGGCTAGATGCCTATCTTCACCAGTAGCAACAATTGCCTCATGCAGTCTGGAAGAAGAGTCTGGAGCCAAAGCAGAGGGGAGTTTGAGGGACAATGCCACTACAGTTCTAATATTCAGAAGAGGGTGGGGTTGAGGACATAAAGGATCTGACTCAAATCCCTCCCCTTTATCTTCTAAACACAGCTATAAGACCCAAAAGGGGGTTGGGGGGACACTCAAACCACCCCCAAATGAAGGAATAAGATTTGGGGGCAGAGATGTGAGATGTTTGTTGTTTTCTTTCTCTAGTTTGGCACATGCAGACGGTTGATAAGTAAAGAGGGAACCAAGAGGGTATTAGAAGAGGGGGTACTTACCAAGCTAAGTCAGGAAGATTTAGTACTAAAATTCCACTCATATAAAGGGTAAGCTCATCTCACTACTCCATTTCTCAGTGCCTTCTCCATCCTCACTTGTAAACCTTACAGGGATAGAGCAGCTGACCCTTTTGAGGAAGATTTATAAAGGAATCATTAATGCTTAGAATTCTTAGATCTGGTGCAATTCAGTGCCTGGGAGCTCAGCTCACTACCCAGAGCCAGGTGTAGCCTACATCTGCCTCAGGCTGCTAGGGAAAGCCTTTTTCTAAGGGGAGCCTTAGAAACAGGCAGGGCAAAGGCCAGGACTATGGAATAGGAGACATTTGGCCCTGACAATCCTGGCAGCACTGATTTTGGTCTCATGTTCCATCCAGGGTCTAAAAGTAACATGGGTCTTAGCGCTTCTCCAAGCAGATGGTCGAGTTACTGGCCATTAAACATCCCTTCTCTTTTGATTTGCGTCTTCCTCTGCTCTCCTAAGCACCTCTGAAGGAAAAGAACACTCCCAGGATTGGAAGTCTACTTCCTGTTCCACAATCAAGTGAGCAGATCAGGCAATTTAAGTCTTTTATCCTCCCTAGAAACAAGTGGGGCTACCAGAGTTTTCCCTTGGTTTCCCAACCTGTAATTTTAAGTTTAATAAAACAGCAACGAGTACCACAAGTGACCAAATTGGGGAGATACTAATTTCCAGTCTTGAGGAAAGATGTAAGCTTCAGTTGTAAAGATGATAGAAGCTATAAGCAGCAGCTTTCTATATTCTAAATTTATGGTAATAGTATTATTTTTGAACAGGAGTGGTTATATATAGTCTAAAACAAATAGGAAAAGTTTGTGATCATCACTGTGATAGCCAGGAACCACTCTGTCTACTTTTGTTAAGTATCTCATTCTTCTTGGAGACCAGATAGGATTTTAGGATCTCTTACAAAGCACATCAGTCTAATACTGAAAACAACTTTTAAACTTTCTGGATTTTAAATGATAAAGTAGTTTAATCCATCTCTCCAGAGAGCAAACATAGGAATATGTCCCAGGAACCTTGACTTAACTCTTAGAATTTACCATTAACATCTTCCCTCCCTAATCCCATAGCCTGCCAGTCCAGGGAGGGGATTCTTTATTTGCCTATTCAACAACATCTACTCTAAATACTGACCATTTTGGAAATAGGAAAAAGAGAGCCTCGAACTAGAAGGAAAAAGTAGAACTCACATTTAATGTTGAAAAGGAACAGCAGAGATGAGGGTCCTATGGCATGTCAGGGTAGGGCTAGAGGCATCAACTATAAAGTTTTTAAGATTACTTAAAGGTTTGTCAGAACAAAGAAAGGAAAATATAGTTGGAGGAAAAATGGATGCAGAAGAGTTGAGCTCTTTTCTATGTGAGCAAATGTGGTCTGGCTAGCAAACCTAGTTTAAAACAGTCAGAAGGAGGATTGAAGAGTTTATTTTCATTGGCTTCATCACTCTAGAACAGGTGCTAATCTTTCCCTCCTCCTCTGTTCCTGACATCTAACGTGTGGGTGTAGTGTCACTAGTCTGTCAAACCTAACAGTGTGAGGCCCAGGTTACCCAATTTGAGCAAACACACGTGAAGCTCTACTGAGCCAAGACCAGGTACTCAAAGCACCTGAACCACTTCAGCCTTCTCGCCTCAGCCTATATCCGTGTGGCCTCTCACAGAGCCACAGAGAAACACATCAATGACAAAAAGCTGAGACCGTTGCAGTGGTAAATGAGTGATCTCAAATCCACTGACAGATAAGAAAATAGACTTAAAAAGGAAGTCACCTCTAGGCACGAAGATCTCAACTCACTTTTTAAAAACTCCAACTTCTACATTTAATCTTTGTTACTTTGATCTTTCTACAACCTGGCCAGAGGCATATTCTTTAATCACACTTGATATCAATATCCTTTTTGTGTGTGCCAATTTTGTTACCACATCCTAGTGAAATAAAGCTAAAAAATAAAAGTTAATTTGACCAACTGAAGGCTGTTCATTTGTAATCCATGGTGCTTGTATGTGTACACTAGATTCCCTGCTACAAGTTACTGTTGATCTGTGTGCTCCAAATTTTTTGAACAAGAATTGTCACAGACTCTCTTTCTTTTGGAGAGGTTTTTTGCTATAGGGCGCGTGCGCTCGCCAGCCAGAGACAGAAAGTGAGAAATCACCCCCCGGGGGGATGGCCATACTGCAATCCCTTCTCCATTCTCATCTTGGGCACGCATGCACATGCACCCGGCATGAGTTTTAAGCCACCAGGTCCAGGACGCAAACCGCGGTTGAGCAGACTCCCTTTTATAAAAGCTCCTTGGGCAAAGAAAAGAGCATCAGCATGGACCCCTCCAGAAAACACCAAGGCAAGGGTAGGATGGCAAGGAAAAGCAAAGCCAAGTCCCACCTATGACACTCATGTTCAAATGCTAGGTAGCCTCCATATACCTGCCAGATTTCATGGGCATCAATTCCTCATCAGCTGGTACACTCACTCTTTGGACCTTCAGTTTATCATTTTAAATTATTTTCTCTACCTTTAAACTCATTTCTAGTTTCAGAATCACAGTCCCCATTAAGTCTTACCTGTTTAATTCTTTCTCTGCAAGCACAAAACCTGAACTGCAGAGCAATGACTATTTTTTTCCAAAATATTTATTTATTTTTAATTATTTATTTAATTTTATTAATTAATTTCTTTTAATTTGACCAGAGAGAGAGAGAGAAAGCAAGCCACCAAGTCCAGGACTTGAACCATGGTTGGCCATGTGGGAGTGTCCAGTGCCTTAACCACCACGCCACCTGCTGGGCCACCAGAGCAATGACTTTTAACCCTGCACCTTAAGGCAGTTCTGCTGAGCAGAATACTGGAATATTTGCAGGCAGAATTGATTTTCCCTGTAGTATGCCCATATAAAGTTTAACAAATTTCTAGGAAATATCGAGCAACTTAGTATACACACTATTCATGCTTAACTATCACAGGGTGCAAGCCCTTAATCATAGCCACTGCAATGAGGCAATAATTCCCAAGTCTGACTGCTTTTCTAGGCCCTGTCATCATTACTGCAGGCTTAGAATCAAATTAAGTAGAAAATGGAGTTCACCAAAGAAAACAAGAAAATGGAGCTCAAATAAGTTGTGTCTTGGTTTAATCTTGGAAATTTAGTTTCATTCATCAACTGCTGGAATAAAGCAGTGGACAAAAATATCGGTAAGTTCCCTGCCCTGTGGTTAGAAGTTATTGTCTACATCAGTGGTTTTCAAAGAGTCCTCTAGTTAGGAAGCCACTGCTGGGGAGACTATATCCCACCTGCTTCAACCAGAGGAGCTCTTAACTCTTGACATGCCACATAGAGTTTCATTTAAAAATTAAGTTGCTCCATTAAAAGATTTGAAAACCACTGGTCTTTAGTCTTGTCCCTACTTAATCTGTCAAGAGATTATCAGTTTTTGGACAGTTACTTAAGTGTCCTTAACTTTAAATGGCAGTGATAAGAATGCTAAAAAATCAGAAATTCAAATGAGCCAGCTCTCCACCAAGTTCTATTACGATTATGAAATTTTCAAAGTTCAGAACATTCCATCTCTATGTGAGATAACAACCTGAACTTGATGTCACAAAAAGAAAAAGTGCACAATTGGCATGATGGTTAAGGGCACTGGACTTCCACATAGCTGACCACAGTTCGAGGCCCTGACCCAGTGGCTTCCTTTCTCACTTTCCCTCTTGCTCTGCCCCTCCCTGGTCAAAATTAAAATAAGGTTAAATAAAGTAACAATTCTTAAAAAGTGGTTTCTGAATGGCAGCTTTCATAATTTATAAAATGGCAAAGCATATGCTTAGATGTCATGATATTTCATCTAAATTATGAAGTTTTCTTAAAGAAGCTACTTCATTTCATACAGACTAGAAAACCATCCAATCTACCAAAAACTCCTTTCTCAACAAGGGAATTGGGAAATTGTTACATTCATCCTCCTCCCAAGAGCTTGTTTCTCCACAGCTGTGGTGGTATTCTATGGGGTATGGTGCCATCTTGTGGCCATTCAAGCCACTGTTAATAGAGCAAAATTCCAGCATGTTCTCTTAGAGTGAAAGAATATATTGCCTAGAGCATTTGGGATTATTTTCAAATGTTCTCAAAGTATATAACATTCTGGTTACTTTTATCATTTTATTGTTTTTTTTTTCTCTCTCTACACACCCTTAGAACAAAAACAACACATGGAAACCAGTGTCTTATCCAAAAGTCTCAATTCAGTTTGCCTCAAAAAGGCCATAAGAACATCACTCTCACTCCTTTGAATGATCACTGAAAACACTCAGATTAAAAGTTCCAAGTTTCTGTCCACCCCAAGACACAGTCAGTAATCAAACCCTTGTAGCCAGCTCCATAGACTCCCTTCTGCCTATCTTATCTCTCAGAGCTCTTTCCAAACTGGGTCTTCCTGACGGCTCTTTCAGGGTGGGTTGAAAGCTAAATTAAAGAGACAAGTCAGTTCTGTTATCACCTCCCTTAGACCACCAGTTGGCCAGCCAGGAAATCACTTCTGTGTAGTCTTGTCTTCACCATTTATCTCCCAACTTGATGCTTTAACATTCACGTGCAATGGATTCAGTGTCCACTATTCTGCCTGAGAAGTGGTTTGAGCCTTACACACTTTCCTGAGGGGGATTAAAAAACAAAACAAAACAAAACAAAGTACCTCTATGGCCTTCCTACCTTATGGAATCAAGCAAAAAAGGGGAAAACACTACCAAAAAGGGTAATGCAAGAAAAGCAATGGAATCCCTTCCCACCCCAATGGAGGATACTCTAGCTCTAGTTCTTAAGAGTATAAGAAGGCAGGTATTCTGAATTCAGGAGGTATAATGGAGGGAAACATTTATTTTCCCCTTTTAAACTTTCCTGCCGCCCCAGTTTTTGCCTTCTTCTTAGTGGATCCCTTGGGTTCTGGCTCTTTGCGCTTAGCTGAGGAGAGCGAGCCAGTCACCTTGAAGAAATCATCAAGACGGCCCTGAGTGCTTCCTTGGCGGCTCTTGCTCAGTCGCTTGACTCCACTGCGGATCCGCTCTTCAGAGAACTGCTTTTCACCACACATGAACTTGACCAGCTCTTCTTCATTGGGCTCACTCCACTTCAGCTCTACTGACTCTGGGTCCAGCACCTCAGGCTCCAGGAAGAGCTGCTGGGCTTCTTTATGAAGCCAATTTTCTGGCACAGGGTACTTGTTGGGGTCAAGCCGCCGCACAATCTCTTCAATGCTCTTGTGCTTCTGAATGAGGTCTACAGCCCGCTTGGGCCCAATGCCCCGGATACTCTCACAGTAGTCGCTGCCCAGCAAGATGCATAGATCCACAAACTGTTCCTGGCTCAGGCCTAGTTCCTGCAGAATTCGACTCAGGTGGAATTCCTGGATGGGCAGTTTCTTGGCCTCACTGGCAGTCAGGTGTCGCATTAGCACAGGGCTGCCAAAGGTGAGGCAGTCCATGTCCTCAGTAGCTGCTGCATAAACTTTGCCAGCTTTCACCAAAGCAGCACAGCTGGCCTCTGCTTCGCTGGGTGCATCGAGGTAAGGGATCCCCATGAGGCTCAGCAGATGTTTACACTCATCATTGTGCTGCTTAGTGACCTTCACCAGCCGCTTTGAGAATTTTTCTACCTCTTCCTCAGCCCCAGCGGCCTGAGCCTGCTGCAGCTGCTTCTCTGCCTCAGCACGCCGCTCACTGCGTTTGGCCAGCTCACCTGATTTGAGCTGTGGTGGCTTGCCATCGAAGACATACACGGGCTTGATGCCATTCTCCATCATGCGGATGGTGCGGTAGAACATGCCCATCAGGTGGCTGGTGGTATCACCCTCTTCGTTCTGTAGCATATCCCCACCTTGGCGAACAGCAATTAGGAACTGGTAAATGCTCATGGAGGCATCAATGGCCACCTTGCGGCCAAAGTAGCTCTTGATGTCATTCTCTCGGATGGCACTGGGGGCCACATCAGCAATAAGTTTGGCCAGACCTTGAATTCCCATGGTAATATAGAGGAGGGATGGCTAAAAAAGAAAGGCAAGTCAGACAGGAACAACATTAAGGAGGCAAAAGGAGCAAGCAAGGGTTATAACTGGTGTCATCTCATCAGCTTCACGCCTTCAGCTAATCAAATTTAGCACAACGAAAAGGACACCAAGTCAGCACTGCAGAAGAAAAAAATGAACAAGACAAGGTCCCATTTTCAAGAAACTTTTAGTCTAGCAGGAGGATTTATTCAATTACTACTTCAGCTTACCAAGTATCAGAAATTGAACTGGGAGATAAGAGAAAGAAGACACTGTTGTTGTTTTTGAGGATAAGGCAGCAGCATTATGTATCACACAAAAAAGACAACACAGATCTACATAAAGAACCATAGAAGGCCACAGAGTGATTGGCCCATGTTGAGTCATCCAGGAAGCATAATGGCAGAACTAAGCTCTGAGGGACAGGCAAGTATCAACTAAACAAATATAAATACACACACACACAATCTCAAATCCAGCTTCAGCAACTGGTAAAGGACTGGCAAGTAGAACATATCTGATGGGGGAAAATGTGGCTTCCTCAAATGTTGTTCTAGTATCTCTTCAGCATCCCCTCAGCACATGGAGTTTCTTACTACCATCTTGTTAGAAGTTTTAAGTCTTTCCCTTTGTATTCTTCTCCCCACCACTAAGTCTGAAATATGAACACCACAACTCCTACCAGGTCCTAACTCAGCAGCCTGGCATATTGTTGTCACTCAGCTCAGTATGGCGCTTCTGTGGTTCAGGCCCCTTACCAAAGCTTTCCTAGGGCAGCGTTTCCAAACTACCCTAACAATTCCAATTAAAACCTGAATTTTTGGGGACCAGCAGTTAACATAATGGCTATGTTGCTGAACTCCCACGTAGTCAATCGTGGTTCGAGTCCCAGACCCAGTGGCTTAAACTCATGCCGGGCACGTGTGCGTGCATGCCCAAGATCCTGAGAGGAGAATGGAGAAGAGACTGCAGCGTGGCCATCTCCCTTGCGGGGAGAGGGGGAGGGATTTCTCGCTTTCTGTCTCTCTCTCTCTGTCTTTCTGGCAAGTGCATGTGCCCTATAGCAAAAACCTCTCAAAAAATAAATAAATAAATAAATAAAATTAAATTAAAAAAAAAAAAAAAAAGAAAACCTGAACTTTATCTGTTAATACATTCTTCAACAGGTTTTTTTTTTGGAGAGATTTTCACTGTAGGGCACGTGCGCTCGCCAGACAGAGAGAGACATAGAGACAGAAAGCGAGAAATCACCCCCCGGGGGGATGGTCACGCCGCAATCCCTTCTCCTCCATTCTCCTCTAGGGATCTTGGGCACACACGCACACGCGCCCGGCGTGAGTTTTAAGCCACCGGGTCCGGGACACAAACCGCGGTCGACTACGTGGGAGTCCAGCGACATAGCCATTCCGCTAACTGCTGGTTCCCTTCAACAGGTTTTTAAAAAACTAAACTAACTGGAAAAAGAGAACTCTCTAATCATTATCAGTGTTCTATAGGTTACCTTTTAATGTGTTAACTATATTTCTATTAAAAAGGATTTTAGGGAGTGTTATTTGGAGTTACCTTGTACCTGTGGATGTTATGGGTTCAACATGCTTTGCTCAACTGTGCGCTCCTCCCGCCATCCTCTCACCCCTCTTCAATTTTAGTTCCCATATGAATGGGTGCAGCAAAAGCCCTAGATTCAAAGCTCTTCAATCTAGGCCCCAGTATTTACCATCTGTGTAACATTACTAATCAGTTCAGGTTTGTTTTCCCATGTATAAAATAAGAATGACAAACATGCCTGTCTTGCGAGATTGCTGTCAGGGTAAACTGAAACAGTAGATGGAAAACTCCCAATACAACACCAGAGCTCTGTCAATGTTTCCCATCCAACCCTTTGGTTCATGCGGCAAAGCTGGCTGCTCTGCTAGAATGGTACTGACGTACTGAGAAGGCAATGCCTTGTTAGCCACTTATTCTGCCGCAGCACCCAACAGAGGTAGGCCCAAATGAATTAAGTTTCCAAAATGCTTCTCATCTAAGGTCTTAGTAAAAATATACCAGGACCCAGTAAGGTGGGAGATATTATCGTCTTTGTAAAATTGAAGAATGGGAGGCTCGGCGGTTAAGCGATGGTCCAAGTCTCATCTCACAGCCGGAAAGAGGCGGGACAGCCTGAGCGCGAATCCCGCGCGCGCCTGACACCGGCTCCCGGCAGCACTCAGGGCAGAGAGGACCCCGTCGCTGTCGGAGGCGTTCCCACCGGGTCTCACCTGGCCTTAGGGAGCGAGCCTTCGGCAGCTAGCGCTGGGTCCGATGTTGCCCGGGACACGACAGAGCCGGTGGCCGCCTCAGCTCCGCCGCAGGTGATGTCTAGCTCAGCGGCCTTCCAAAGCCCGCGCTCCCGTCACGTGACCTGCCCGCCGCGCAAGGCATCCTGGGAAGTGTAGTGCAGGCCCCACCCCTCCGCGAGCTGAGCTCATTGAAAACTGTCCCGCCAGGGAAAGCGGCCTTTCTCAGAGACTCGGCCCTACCCTCTCCTCTACAGCTCGTCCCTGCGCCACCCACGCCAAGCTCCCACAGGCCTCAATTCCCGCCACATTTGAACCCATAGGACTACAAGTCCCACAATGCTACGTGCGCGGGGGCACTTCCTTTTCCGGCTGAACAAGTCGCCTGCTCCGGTTGACGTGTTCTTCCGGTGGCGGAGCGGCAGCTTACCCTGCGCGGGGCAAAATGGTGAGAGGGTTAAGGGGAGTGCCCAGCACCGCCGTGAGGACCGCTGGGGACCTGACCCCACACCGTGTATCTCTCGCGGAGACCTCAGACGACCGACATCCAGAGGGCGGGCGTTCCCGGAGCCCTGGGCTTGCGCGGAGGGGCGGGCCGGGAAGCCCCTTGTCGTGGACCCCTTTGAGTGAGGTTTCCCTCACACGGGGTTTGTGAATTAGCGATTTATAAGGGTGACGGGTGTGGGGTGCACTGTGAATACCTTTGACCTTGTGTCGCTTAGCTGTGCTCTGTTATCTAAGTCCTTCCCCCTGCCGAACTCTTACCCATCCTGCAAAGCCCTGGGCAAGTGTCATTTCTTGGTGAAGCACCTCCAACTTTTCTCGGGCACTGGGCCGCTCTGTCCCGGGAGCGCCCACGACCTCCGTGCAGACCTCTTGCCACGTTTCACGGACTCCTTTGTTATCTGCCACGCCTCCTAGTGACCACCATCTGACGCGCATCTAGCTCTGGGATGAGATCTATTCATCTTTGTATTCCCAGTGCCAAACAGGGCTTGCAATCGGAGGCTCCGTAAATGGCAGCGATTGTCTTTATATTTTTGGAGGGTGGGGGAAGGACATAATTGTTTACTGGATTGAATTTTCCAGTGTCTCTAAGAACAATGGGGTCAGTTTACTTCTCTAGAGTTGTTATGTTCTGGATGTTGGAAGCGCTGGCTGGTGGGTGACAATGGAAGTTAACATTTGTAACAGAACTTTTACGTTTCCAGCCCTCTTTCACGGGCATTATGTCATACCGTCCCTACAACCTTAGGAAGGAAACAAACACCTATTAAGGAGCTACTCTATACCAGGCACTAAACTACATCCTTGGGCATGCATCATCTCTTAAAGCCTACATCAGCCCCGAGAAATAGATATTATAATCACTTTACTGAGACGCAGATTGTTCAGTTGTGGCAGAATTTCAGCTCATGCCCTTTGCTGGTAAAGCCTAAGATTTCATACCAGCGTAGTGAGAGAAATGCTGAATTAGATGTTGGGATCTGGTTCCCAGTCCAGGCTCCAACTTACATCGGGGATTCTCAGCTTGATGTCTATAGACAGGAATCTACAAAGCTCCAAAAATTGTAGGCAGACTTTTTCTTGCCTGTGTTTTTTTTCCCCAGGCAATGAGGCCATACTGTCATCACATTTCCATAGTGGTCATGGGCCTCAGAATATGCTAAGGTCAATCGATTTGCAGTTAGTCACGCTCTGTGTCTCAGTCTGTAACGCTCAGCTTGCCTTTGTGGCTCATAGTGAAAAGATGAAGTGCCACCTTGGGTTTTTGTGATTTTGTTTTCGGTTTTCTTAGACTTACCATAGGATGCAAGCACTCACCAGAGAGAGACTAAGAGAGGAAACATGAGAAATCACCCCTCTGGGGGAATGACCATGCCGCAGTCCCTTCTCCATTCTCCTGGGATTTCAGGCACACAAATATACCCAGTGTGTTTTTCAAGTCACCGGTCCAGGACTTGAACCACAGAGTTGGCCATTGGGATCCAACGCCTCAATCATCATGCCCTGCTGGCCTGGTGCCACCTGTATTTTGTCTGTTTGTTTGTTCTTGGAGAGGTTTTCGCTATAGGGTGCATGCGCTCACCAGAAAGACAGAGAGAGACAGAAAGCAAGAAATCACCCCCCAGGGGGGATGACCACACCGCAATCCCTTCTCCGTTCTCCTCTTGGGATTGTGGGCATGCACACATACGCACCTGGCATGAGTTGAAGCAACCAGGTTTAGGACTTGAACCGCGGTTGACTACATGGGAGTCCAACGACATAGCTGTTACACCAACTGCTGGTCCCAACCACCTCAGTTTTAATATTTAATTGTAACTGTTATTCTTAAATTAAGTTAATGTTGGTTTTGAAGGATTTCCATACTTTCTAAGCTAAAATAGTCCCCTAGTAGTCACAATAGCACAAAGCTCTTTGAGAGCCCCCAGTCTCCCAGGTTGAAATCATGGCCTTCTCTGATGGCACTGATCTCATGCCCTCCCTTAGGAGCTCGAGGCCATGAGCAGATACACCAGCCCAGTGAACCCAGCTGTCTTCCCCCACCTAACAGTGGTGCTTCTGGCCATCGGCATGTTCTTCACCGCCTGGTTCTTCGTGTATCCTTTGGTTGAGCACTGCCAATGGGCTAGAGTTAGTGTCGTGGGAAACTGCATGAGAAGCCACGCTGGGTATATGCACCCTGCTAGTTTGGGACATTTGGTTGCAGGTAGGAGATGATAAGAAGGGTAAGGCTGGTGATACCCAAAGTCAGATTGCAACCTTATTTCCCAAGTTCACGTGAGCTCAGATATCTCCGTAGATTTCCAGGACAGTGAAGAGAGGGCTAGCTGGCGTGGAGGCTGGTGATAGGGCAGCTGAAGTTGGAAAGGTGGTACCAGAATGTCAGAAGGACTGAGGGCTAATCCCAGCTTCACCACCCATTAGCTGTGTGACCTGGGGCAAGTGACATAACACCTCTGGGCCTTGTTTTCTTCCTGAGAGGTGGAGGGCTAGTATGGAACACAGAATCCAAGTCATCTTTTGGGCCACTCTTAGCTGCACTGAGCCAGACCAGCTGCCTGGAAAGCCCTTAGCCCATACTTGTTCCTCAGGGTGACACTGGCCAGGCTCCCCACACTTGCAGTCTGTCCTTTTGCTTCTCCTTAACAGCCTGGCCCAGTTACGAGGTCACTTCCACCAAGTACACTCGGGACATCTACAAAGAGCTCCTCATCTCCTTGGTGGCCTCACTCTTCATGGGCTTTGGAGTCCTCTTCCTGCTGCTCTGGGTTGGCATCTACGTATAAACTCCAAGGTAAGAGACGCCTGAGCCCCCAAGACACAGCTGGAGAGCCTCCCCACACCCGTATCCGCAGGGTCCTCCGGCTCTGACCTGCACGGCCCCTTGCTTAGCAGAGACAGACTCAGGAAAGGTTAGGGACAGATGCGCCCCTGTTCCTCCCCCTTGTGGGGATTCAAACCAAGTGTGACCTACTCTGAGTTCTGAGTTTTCCACACTGACCAAGGCCATCTGGCTTTGGGATATGCTTTGCAGGAATGTGGGTACAAGCCCCCCCATGGTTGTACATTTGCATCCTTACAAGTCATATACCAGTGACTCAGAGAGGCTGCTGGGAAGTGGGCTGCCTGGAAGAGGGTCAGGATCCAAGACTGAAAACTTGTAGCAGATAATCCACTTAATAGGTCACTAAGAAATGGCTCTGGGGGCGCTTATCATCAAAAAAAGGGTGCCATCAGCCCTGTCCTGGAAGCATAGGGGTTCAGAGAGAGAACAGTCCCTGGTCTCACTTTCATATCCTTCTCCTCTTTCAGGTACCACCCAGGTGGCTTCACTGAACCCCTGCTTTTGTAAATTAATTGTTTTTTTACTATGGCCGAAATGTCCCAGCTGCTGCTCACAATAAAGGCAGATGTGTGACAGTCCTGCCTGGTGCCTGTTCTGCAGATTGGGGGTGGTGCTGGCACCTATGTGACTTCCCCAGTCCCGCCCCTTCTCATTTCTCATCTGCCTTCCACGTGGCGCAAACCTGTGGGAGGGGAGGGCTATGTGGCCGATATCTCGTCATTGGAATTGAAGGCTCACATATAGGTAGGAAGGGTTTGGTCTGCCATCTTCCGTTGTTTCTAGGATAAACTGCAGTAGAAACCCACACCAATCAGTTCTACCCTCAGCCAAATCTCTCCTCTAAATGTCACCACCCTTTTCTGGGCTGGGGTACCCTTACCAGGCTCTGCTTTCCCCTAAGATTTTTGCCTAGGTTGCTTTTTTTTTTTTTAAAGGTTTTTGCCATAGGGTGCATGCACTCACTAGAGAGAGAGAGAAAAAAACAGTGAGATGGAAAGTGAGAAATCACCCCCTCCCCTAACCAGGATGGCCATGCCGCAACCTCTTCTCCATTTTCCTGGGATTTGGGGCATGCACACATACGCAGCGTGACTTTCCATCCACTGGGTCCAGGACTTGAACCACAGTTGACCTTGTGGGAATCCAGTGCCTCAACCACTGGCACGGCCAATTTAGCGATCCAAACTTATGGTTGGGCATGCAGCTTCCAGCACAGTAGTACAGATTGCACCACCTGGGCTGGGCCTAGGCTGCTACTTTTAATTCAGGTGGTCATCAGCTGGTAGATAGGCAGGAAGAGGACTCCAGGGTGGGGTTGCTGAGTCTTTTCCCAGTCCTTGTATGATGGGAAGAAGGATAAAGGGTAAAAAGCTGTCATCTGTAACCAATCAGTTGGTGTAGTGGTTAAGGCGGCTGGGTCCTACATGGCCGACTACATGGTTCTAGTGCTAGACCCGGCAGCTTGAAAACTGCACTGGGTTTATGTATGCATGCCCAAAATCCTGAAAGAATGCAAAAAAGGAGATTGTGGGGGACCAGCAGATGGCATAATGGTTACATTGCTGAACTCCCATGTACACAACTGTACTTCAAGTCCTGGACCTGGTGGCTTGAAACTCATGCTGGGCACGTGTACATGAGTGCCCCAAATCCTGAGAGAATGGAGAAGGGTTGTGGCATAGCCATACCCCTTGCGGGGGGTGGGGTGGGGGGATTTCTTTCGCTCTCTCTGTGGAAACACATGCCCTATAGCAAAAATCTGTCAAAAAAAAGAGGGGGGAGCAGGGATTGCACAGTGTGGCTATCTCTCCTAGGGGTTGATTTCTCGCTCCCAGCCCCCTTCAGTCTGTCTGCAACAAAGTGCATGCACTCAGTACCAAAAAAAATTTGTTTAAAAAGCAGCCATCTGGCCAGACCTGAGGGGTGCCCCAGAGATATGACTCCTCAGGAATCAGAAAGAGCCTGAAATTTTTTTTTTTTTTTTTTTTTTTTTTTTTTGAGAAGTTTTTGTTATAGGGCGTGTGCACTTGCCAGAAAAACAGAGACAGAGACTGAAAGCGAGAAATCACCCCCCGGGGGCGAGGGATGGCCATGCCGCAATCCCTTCTCCATTCTCCTCTCGAGATCTTGGGCACGCATGCACACGTGTCCGGCGTTGAGTTTAAGCCACCAAGTCTGGGACTCAAACTGCAGTCGACTACATGGGAGTTCAGCAACATAGCCATTACCCCACTGCTGGTCCCTGAGCCTGGAGTTCTGATTGGTCCTATTCCTGCAGGTAATACCATCTTCCACCAGAAGAATCCAAACAAGAGAAAGGGAGGCAAGCTCAGATACAAAGCAGTATTTATACATTTATTTATATACGTATATTTACTTCAGAAGGAAAGAACAGTTTGACAGACAGGGAGCAAGCAGACCGGGACTGCTTCCCTCTCTGCCCACCTCTGTCAGAGTCATACACGATAAATATGAGCCAAAGCTCAGGGGGAGGAGCTGGGAGTTAACTGGGAGGAGGGGCACTCTATGCACACGCAGGCTTCTAGGGGGTACAGCGTGGGCAGAGGGTTTGCACCGGGAGGCCTATGTACAGCTTGAAGCTAGGGGGAGATTAGCCCAGTGGCTAAAGGGGAGAGGGAGGGAGGGAAGGCTGCTGGACCCCGGGCAAGGGATGGAGCTGAGATGCCCACACAGTACCAGCTAGCAGCTCCCAGCCTCCAGCAGGTGGCCCACTCACCTTCCCAGAAGCCCTTTTACCTTGGGCTAAGGCAGCTTTGGTCCAAGGTTGACCCCCTCGAGCAGCTTGGCGCTCCAGCTTGGCCCAACTCCTGCACTGAGGACTCCCTCCCCAGGCATGGAAACAGCCAGCCGCTAAGGAGGTTGGGGATATGCTGTGTCCAGATGGGCTCCAGGGGGCAGCGGAGGGTCACTTTCCAGTTAAGGACCTAAGGACCGCAGTCCAAGAACACACACCCACTGAGAAAGCCCTAGAATCCTATTATAGAAGGGGCAAGGCTTGGCAGTTTTAATGCATTATAGGGAGGGTTCCCCCAGTGAGAGGAGGGAGAACAGAGTAGTCCTAAGTAAGGATCGACCCCCCCCTCCATGGTATGGGAGTCATACAATTCCTATGTCAGAATGAGGGAGTGGAGCCACCTGGGATGGCAAGGTATCCCTGTATCCCCAAGTCCCCTTGGTGTTTCCCTGTCCTGAGGATAAGTGCTTTGAGATCCATAGCAGAAGACGGCCCATAGTTCAAAGGCTTCTTCAAGAATCCGGCTTCCCCACAGGAAGGCCTCCCATTCAAAGCTAAGAATGAAAGGTAGGACAGGAGCAAGGCCTGGTTTCCCACGCGGTGGCAGAAGGCCACAGGACAAGGATGGCAGTTCCCCTTTCCCGCTTCTGAGCCCAGGCGGGCATGGCTGGGTGACTGCCACACTCCCATGAGCCTGGATGTGGCCTCCCCAAGCTCCAGGCACCGTTAAGAAACACTGAAGTTGGCACTCAAGAGAAAACTGTATTCCCAGCCCATCACTTTGTTCCTGGGTGGTGGGGCAGAGATGGGACCTACCAAACAGGAGTCCCTCCAGTTGATACAGCCCCAGCAGGGGGACCTTTGATTTAGGGGGACAAGGCCACAAGCAAATGAGTAGAGAGAGGGGCCAATCTTGGAGGCTGGGAGCAGGACGGGCATCTCTGAGGCCCCTTGGCTGGGATCAGAGGCATGGCCCTGCCTTTGCAAGTACTACCCCAGGGCTCTGGCCCAGTCTGGGCTTTTCTAGCTGCTGCTTGCCCTGGTTTAAGTGCATTTAGTAATTACTTCATTAATAACAGCAAAAGCTATCTGCATCCACCCATCAGCCAAGACCGGCCTGCCGTGTGCAGGGATGCCTGCTCCTCTGCTCAGAGAGAATGATGGGTCTCCAGTTACCCTGTGAGCTCTGGAAGTCCCTGGGACACAAGCCTGTTGGGAGCTTCCCCCTTCTGGGATACTCCAGATTCAAGGGTCCAAGGCGTACCTGGCAAACTGGCCTCCTTAACGCCGGCACGAAGTGAACTTAAGGCACAAAGTCAGATTAACCCATTCAGGGTGGCCTTGGCTGCCCTGGGAGTTCTTGGGACCCAAGCTCTCTGGGAGAAGAAACCTCCTGGGCCACACTTAAAGCTCTGGAATCCCACTCCAGCGTAACAGTTCAACCCAGAAAATCCACCTCTAAGCCATCCCCTGGGGCAGCTTCGAGGGTGAGAACTCTCTGCCTTCTATTGATAGTGGGGGTCCAGCCAAGTCTCTCAGGGTCGGATCCACACTCCTGGCTAATCTTGAAGGCAGGCAAGTCCTCTCTCCAAGAGGGATAGCTCCCATTCTCAAAAGGGGGCAAAGGAGAGTGGGCTTGGATACGGCAGGGTCCTGGGCTTCCTCTTGCCTCCAGGGCTCCTGAAGCCAGCCCTCCAACCACCATCTGGACCGATGGCAGTAGGGCCTGTCCTGGCCCCAAGGAGGTGACAGGCAGGAAGGCCCAGGACATTTCTGTCTCTGGCCCCCTCTGTGCAGTGGGAGGGGCGGCCAGCAGGAACAGCAACTCCAGTGTGAGGACTTCCAGTTTCACCAGTGAGCGGCAGAGAGCTGGCCGGCAGCAGGCTCCAGTGTAACACTCTTACGTCCAGTGTGGAAGGGGCATCTGGGGACCCCGGTCCCTGGCATGGTGCCACCTCAGGAGGGCAGCTCAGTCACACAGGCGGTAGAAGTGGAAGTAATAGTCCGTAGCTGCCTGGCCCAGGGGCTCTGAGCTGCAGTTGGCCTGACCCTGGAGGGAATGGGTAGTGGAACCAGTGGGCAGCCCTCCCCAGGCTGACATTGCTTGGCACTGCACCCCGGGTGCCACCCATGCTCTGCAAACCCCAGTTCTCCCCCAGGCCTCCCAGTGCAGTTGGCAGAGCCTAGACCCCCCGGGTGGATGGGGTGCCCATGCTCACCAGCAGTGCCACCCGGAAGTGGTAGGTAAATTCACGGAAGGACAGGATGGTCACTGGCCACTGGTGAGAGGTGCCCTGGAAAGAGAAGGGAGAGGGAGGTCAAGACGGCCTCCGCCCCATCCCAACCAACACCCCCCTCACCATGGCCACTGCAGCCACAAGGTCTGCAGCAAATTGTATGAAGGAGAAAAGCAGAGAGCTCTGAAGGGAGATGGGAGGGAGCACATGCTCTGGGGAGTAGCGGCAGCCACCTCTGCAGACGGTGCAGGGACCTGCAAGTCCCCAGCTGCCTTCCGCTGACACTTGCCTGCTTTTCAGTCTTGTCTCTGGCTGTGTCCCCTCTCACCCACTGTGCTCTGAGCATGTCTGAGCATTAACCCCATCCTCAGTACTAGATTATCAGAAAAGGCATGACACATTCTTGCATAGAAAAACAGAAAAATATGTCATGGCTTTTCCAATAACCTAATACAATCCGGTGGAGTGGTGCTGCTACCATCCTCACCTCAAAAATAGTCACTTGCCAGGGAACCAGCAGTTAGCGTAATGGCTGTCGCTGGACTCCCACGTAGTCGACCGCGGTTCGTGCCCCGGACCCGGTGGCTTAAAACTCACGCCGGGCGCGTGTGCGTGCGTGCCCAAGATCCCGAGAGGAGAATGGAGGAGAAGGGATTGCGGTGTGACCATCCCCCCTGGGGGGTGATTTCTCGCTTTCTGTCTCTATGTCTCTCTCTGTCTGGCAAGTGCACGCGCCCTACAGTGAAAATCTCTCCAAAAAAAAAAAAGTCACTTGCCTAAAACCTCCAGTATGGCAGAGCTGGGGCAAGCGCAGGCCCAGGCCAGCCCTGTAGTACAGCTTAGGCACACAGAGAAAGCTGGATCCCACATGGCAAACCAAGGTTTGAGTCCCAGCCCAGGTGGCTTGAAATTACACCTGGTATTGGGCCAGCAGGTGGTGTGGTGGTTAAGGCAGCTGGACTCCCACATGGCTAACCGTAGTTCAAGTCCCGAACCTGGCAGTGTACTTTCTCACTTTCCCTCTCTCTGTATCTCACTGGTCAACTTCAAAAAAATAAAAATAAAATACTGACCGTTAATTAAATTTAAAAAAAAAAAAAAGAAAGAAAGAAAGAAATTACGCCAGGTATGTGCCCACTTGCCCAGGATCCCAGTGGGGTGGATGATTAAAGAAGAAAGGATTGTAGCACGGCAGGACCCTTCAGGGGTGCAAATGCATGCTCTTCTCTGAGTGCACATGCCCTGACACTATTAAATTTTTTTTTTCTTTTTGGAGAGGTTTTTCCGATAGGGTGTGTGCGCTCGCCAGAAAGACAAGAGAGAAAGGGACAGACAGAAAGTGAGAAATCACCCTCCAGAGGGGATGGCCACACCACAATCCCTTCTCCTCCATTCTCTAGGGATCTTGGGCATGCACACACATACACACATAACACAACCCAGTGTGAGTTTAAGACTCCAGGTCCGGGATTCGAACCGCGGTCCAGCGACATAGCCATTACGCCAACTGCTGGTCCCTAAAATAAAATTTTAAAAGTCTGTCTGGGGACTGGCAGGTGGCATGGTGGCTAAAGTGTTGGACTCCCTCATGGCCGACCATGGTTTGAGTCTCAGACCTGGCGGCCTGCTCTCTCACTTTCTCTCAATCCTTCTCTCATCAAATTTAAAATAATAATAACAAATAAAAATAGATATTAAAAAAGAAGTCTGGCTGGCTCTCTCTCTCACAGGGAGACCAAGGCCCAGCTGCAAGCAGCTTGCCCATCTCCTGCAGAGGCTCTTGCTTGGCCTCTGTTACGTGGGTTCGACTGGAGCACTCCATCTAGCCAGTGTCTAGCTGGGCTCCCCTTCTTCCAGATGCTCTCTCCTCCCTGCCTCTGTGGAAGCACAGAGCCGGCCGGCCTCTAGGCACTCGTCTACTCTCTACTCAAGGTGCTTTCTGCACATCTTTTCTCTCTCACTAAAGGGTACATCCTTGGAAGTCAAAGCCTGTGTCTAGTCCACCTCTGTCTCCCCGACAGCCGGGAGCACAGGGCTTAGACACAGCAGGCCCTGATAAATACTGAGTGAACACATGAGTCAGTGAGAAAATCACTCGTCCCTTAACTTGTTCTGAGAGTCTCTTTCATGGCCCCTCAGGCCCAGGCAGTCATAACTTCTGGTTGCATGGCCAGTGAGGAGCTGGACAGTGACAGGGCCAGACCAGGAGAGATCTCCATGTGGAACACAAGATCTTGTAGATCTAACTATGCCATGGCTCCAACTGAGTATGAGGCTCCTTTCTGCCTCTGCAGACTCGCCCTGCCACCCCCTGCCCACGCTCCACCCCCTGCCCACGCTCCACCTCCTGAGTGGCTCATGGCCTTCCCTGTGTCCATCACTGCACTGGCCCCAGGCTATCCCTTGTACACTGTTTGCTTCCCAGGCTCCGAGATGCTCAGAGGGGTGGGATGAATGCATGTATGTTCTGGTGCATGGATGTCTCCTTCCCCAAGGTCAGAGCCCAGGCCCCACAGTGTCCTTGCCTTTACTCTGACTCCTGGCTCCCTCTCCTCACCTGTTTGGGGGCCCACTTGTGCCAGGGGAGAGGAAGCTCTGGGGCCTGCCTCCCCACCACCTACCTGAGTGTCCTGATGGGAGGGGAGACTCTGTGGGAAGCTCCCCTCCTCACACGGCTCCTCCTTTGACATCAGGCTGCACAGCATGACAGACACGGGGGAGGAGGAGCTAGGGAAAGGCCCAGTTAGTAGAGAAATGGGGTTCCAGAGTCCCTCAACTCAGCCCTCCACCCCAAGCCCACCCTGAAACAAGCCATGAATCCTTAGTCTGAAAGCTGCATGGTAACCGAGGTCCCTATCTGGTATGAAACCTCTGCCACCTGCCATCCCGCATGCGTCTCCTCGCCCCTGGGAGGCAGCCAAGAGAGCCCAGGGGCAGTACTCCAGAAAGAAACCTCCCTCCTCAGCCCTCTCCCCGAGGCCGTTTGGGTCAACAGTAGGAATGGGACAGAACTGCAGGCTGTCCTTGGGTTTGCCCTTCTGAGGCCCTGCTGGGCCCCTCCAAGGGTCCCCTCCCGTCCTCCACTCCCTTGCACCAGCACTCACTTCATCTGCAGGGTCAGGCTGAGGTGCAGTGGGGTGCTGCTGCTGATGGGGATGTGGTAGGTGAAGTTTCCAGGCCTGAGGGGAGAAAGCTGGCACCTTAACTCAAGACCACCCTGCCAAAGCCCCCATCTTCCACTCCTCAGCCCCTAGTCTACTGGAGCCCTTCAGAGACCCGGAAAGGGGTTGCCCTGCCTTGTGGGGGGGACATTCTTCCCAGACAGGAGCAATATCTGGGCATCTGTTCTGCCTGGGCTTGTGTCAACTGTGGGGCCTCGTTGGGGTGAAGGGAGGGAGCCAGGCCCACCTGCAGGCATCCTGTGGAGCACAGTACTGGGAGGTGATGGGCATCGAGTTCTCCAGCACCTGAATGGAGGTCAGGGAGGGCACTGGGTCTGCAAGGCGAGAGGCTGTTGGGGCAGGGAGGAGATGACAAGGCAGGACACAAATGAAGATCAGTTGAGTCTTTCCTAGGCAGTCTTGGATCAGTCACCTACACCTTAGTGTGAATAAGCTTCAGGTTATTCTTTCCAGACCTCCCCCACGACGACCACAGTCACACCATACCCCTTCCTCAGCAGCCCTAGGACTAGCAGGGCCCGTGAGCCTGAGATCTGCCTCCACAACAGAGCTAGAACACCCAGAAGCAGGGATGGGTCTTCCATCTCTCCTGCCAGTGGTGTACAGAAGCCGACTCAGGCCTCTGTTCCCGACTGCATGCCTCTCCTCCCAGCCCTGGGTTCAGTGGCATTACATGGGTAGCTTGAAAGCAGCCACCATGCTGGGTGTTGTCCCCGCCCCAGAGAGCCCATTGTGGAACACCTACCAGCACCACCACTGTGGCCCTCACTGAAGGGATCCTCACCCACTGGCTGGCTGGGGAGGGGAGGGACTGGACTGTGACACAAAAGAGTAGGCTGGGCTTTCTTGCTCATCTCTGTCCACCTACAGGCTTGCTACTGCCTGGCCATTCCACCCAAGAGGAAAGCTGGAGCCACTGGCCACTGCACCTTCACTGGACCTGGGACATTTTCAGCTCTCTGACACACGACCCAGGGACCCAAGGAACCGAGCAGGATCCGAAATGCCCTGTGCAGCCAGGGGCAGGTATCAGATACAGAAGAGAGGGAAGGGCCCTTCCTACTTCCCATCTGGGCAAACTCCTAATGGTCCTTCAGACTCAGCTCTAATGTCACCTCTTCCAGGGAAGCCTTCCCTGATCACTTCCCATCTTAGTCTAGATTAAGGGCCCTCCCCAGTCCCCAAACTGCCTGCATGTCTCCTCCGAGCCTCATCACACTGCCGTTTTCACCTCGGTGAGCTCCTTGAGGGCAGGGGCATGTCTGTGCAGGGGCACCCCCAGTGCACTACAGAGAGCCAGCTGCAGAGCACGGCCCAGGAAAGGGCTGCCTGGTCGATGTCTAGCCCTTGGGGTTTCCTCTCTACTTTGAACTTCAAACTCTACAAGCCACAGTTTCTGAGTTTTTGTCCC